CTCACTTCCTGACTGCTGACTGGGTGGGCTCAAGGGTCCACACTTCTTGTTCACCACAACGGTATAGCTGTGTCCAAAAAAATAAAAAGCTGAAATTGACCACGCAACCACCTCCGGAATTTCCTCCCAATACGCTGTTCCCCAGCTTTCTAGCAGGCGGCTGACCTCATAGCTGACATTGCCGTTGGTGCATCGACGGATTCGGATCCTAAAGCGAACTCCCCTGCAAACAAAATTGTGGAAGAATGCTTTTATCCGAGGTGATTCCGAATAAGCAAGGACACCACCCCCTCCCAAATTGAACACCTGGCCGGGTGCGATAGGCCATCCCTAGAGGTACCAAGGAGCATCTCATAGTCACCTTCAAGGTGGAGTATCATGTCAGGTATGGCGCCACTAGAAAAACACATGATGAATCTAAGGGAGTTTACCGCGATTTGACGTACGAGTACTTGGATGCTCAACCAACTTAAGCAGGTCAGAACCTTGGGTATTTCTGCGAGGAAATAGGGTGCTTGTGTTATGTGCCAGGAGCACCTGATAGTCCATGTCCTCTAGGGTGTGTCCATTTGGGGTATGACACAAGCCTGTGATTTAAGTCTTGTTCATAGAACTTGTTTCAGGACACCCCAAACACAACACCCGCCCCTTTCCACCTCTCGAAAAATTGCATTTGGTCGAGTTGAGTTTTTTTTTGCCATGGGACCCGGGGTGTCACAGTGCGTCAGTTTTTTTTTTGGGGGGGGGGATCTGGTGTTTGACGGGTTTTCCGGAGATCTTCTCTCTTTCATTTTTCTTCTGAGGGGGGTGGTGTTTGGTTTCTGGGAGCTGTGCTTCGCGGCTCGCGCTGCGCCACTCACCACGCGGCTCGGCGCGCGAGGCGTCCGCGGGCGAGGCGTCCTTGGCCATCATGGAGCCCCAGGTGGTGCCGCCGGAGAGGATCTCCTCACTGAGGATCCTCTCCCAGAAGCCGCCTGAGCCGATGGGGAAAAAGAGACCAACGCGAGGCGGCCGCGGTGGTGCGGACGGCGCTTTTTGTTTTTCCTCGCAAAGGGGGGGGGGGGAAGGGTGGGTTTCTGAAGGGAAGCTGGAGGAAAAGCTGCGTTTTTGGGGGGTGAGGGCTGCATTCTTTGGGGTGAAGCTGAAGCATTTTTGAGGTGCGTCGAGAGGGAAAACGGCTTTTTTTGGGTGGGTTTCTTTGGAATCTAAAGGAACAACTGCTGGGGCGGGTTGAAAGTTGGGGGTGGGTAACTCAAGGGAAGCTAAAGGGAACGCCGAAATCCATGGCGATTCCCCTATCCCAAGACACACCCATAAAGTGAGTGACACTCAAAACGGAAAAGGAAGTCTAGCCAAAGCCCGCGGTAAAGAAATAGCTTCCGACCCAAAACTAGTGCTGAAGAATTAGAAAGGCGCTGGCGCCTATTTGCCTCCATCCTGCCAGCTTTTGATGGTGGTTCGGGCCCCGCAACCTTCACACTGCACACATTTGACCGTGTCAATGGCAACCTCGCCTTTGATCCTCGTGGAATGGGTCACGCCTTTCCATCCGTACGCTGAACATGTGGCAACATGATGTTATTTCAGAAGCCTCAGGGATTGAACCAAGCACAGGTGGACGGTGGGCTTCTTGGTTGCTGCAACGACCCCCCTGCAAAAAGTTGAGAACACTTGTTGGGGGCTTAGTTCGGAAAACCCCTTGATTTCAACCAAAAAGTTAAAGTCTAAAGATCCAACCCAATAGCAGTCAAGGTTTTCCCCCCCCCCCCCAAAACCATTTGGTTTGCGCGCCTCAAGCTGCTTCCCTACGCGCCTTCAGACCAGCCTTGGGCTCGAAAAACACCTCCCTCAACCAGGGGCCGCTGGTTTGAACATGCTTAAGCCACAAGTCCCTGAGGCAGTGGTCGGTGTGAAAATTGCCCAGTTGCAAGGCTCCCCCGCGTTGGTAGTAGCGGCCCACGCGAAGGCCCGGAGCGCAAGGCCACGCCTGCGAAGCTGAAGCCCAAGGCCGGGTGTTTGGGGCTGACAACTTGGAAGCAGAAATTCGATATATATATATATATATATATTTGGGCTTCTTTGGCTTTGCTTCTGTTTTGTTCTTCTTGTTTGTGGCTCTTCCGCTCCTTGTTCTTGTTTTTGGCTTCTTTGGCTTTTGCTGTTCTGGTGTGGGATTTTGGTCAGGTTCTTCCTTTTTGGGCTTGGCTTGGCTTTCGGTTCAGCAGTGGTTTCCCTTGGTGATCGGCTTTTGAAACTGCAAGCGCTGGGTTGGGGGGTTGTTCATGTAGGGCTGCTCCCACTCAATCGTCGCATGCAAGGATTTACGGAGCTCCGAAATTGCTCTGCAAGGTAGGAAAAAGGGAGGAGAAACAGAATTCCTAAGGGAAGTTGCTCCGAAGTTGCCGGCAAAAGTGTATTCAAAGGGTAGAAAAATGGTTCCTGTGGGACGCAAAGGGAAAGCTACTTTCTCGTGAAGTAGCTGCCAAGCTTGACCCAGTTGGACCTGGACTACAACCTGGATGGGGACCACCTGCTCAGCACCCGGCCGGCCGTTACAAATGGATGAAATGATGCAACGATACAGAGCCTAAACCTTGCAGCCAAAACAGGTCAGTAATCGGGGAGAATTGAGTACTCGAGGGCCACGCCCAGCAATAAATTGCTTTCATACATACACCCCCCCCTACATTTTTTTTCATCTTCCATCTTCTACCCTTATTTGTTTTCATCATTTTTCTACATTCCTTTCTGTCCATCTCATCCGTTTTTTTTATCATCATTTTTCCAAAATTTTCGCCATCCTTTTCTCCTTCCTCCTCGCCTCATTCATTTCACCAACTACCCTCCAAAATGTCATTTCCTCAATCTCCTCACCTCATCCATTTCAAAAAAAGAAATTTTGCAAAATATATTGCAAAACATATTTGTCATCAAAAAAATATTCGAACTGTCTAAAAACGATTTGTCCATTTCCCGGACAAAAAATAGAACAGCAACAACATCACTCCCTCCTTCGTTTCATCAGCTTCATCATATATATTTTTTTGGGGCGTGGTGTCCCTTGTAGGATTTAAGGGTGATTTTCTGGGAACCGCCTACCCGCACCGCGCTTCGTGAACTTCCTCTACAAGATGCTGTGAGTGCGCCATCTAGTGTCGGTGTCTTGAGTGGACGCAGTTGGTGGGTATGGCTTATGCATTGGATTGGAACAACACATAATTACCGTAGCATCTGTTTTGTCCAAGTGTTGTCCCAACATCCTTCACTTAGCTTCATGGCTTCATCAGCTTCGCTGGTGTTTGTTCACAATGACTTCACGCACACTTTCAAAATCTTCAAGGTGAAGGGATGCGCCACAATCAACACAGAGGGCAAGAGCTTCCATCCTCTCACTGCTGGAGACCTTGACGGACTCAACAAGCAGACGCTTCAGAAGTTCGTTTCAGATTGTGCCCACACCTTGTCTTCGCGATTGTCTCGCTCTGATATGGTCAACCACTGCTTGACGAATTGGAAGTTGCTTCTGGAGAACTATGGCACAATGAGCCATCTTCGTGCACCAGAAGCGCCAGCCCCACCAATGACGACAGAGGCTCAGGAGGAGTCAGAGGAAGAGGCTCAGGAGGAGCCAGGGGAAGAGGCTCAGGAGGAGTCAGAGGAAGAGGCTCAGGAGGCCGATGACAAAGTCAACCAAGAGAGTGACCCAGAGTTGGTGGAGAATCTCATCCAGCTCTTCGATGATGAATCCCACCTCGACCAAGCCTACTTGGATGACCCTTGGGACTTGGACAGCGAGAAGATTGAGTTGGTTGAGGTGGTCTTGAGAGAGCCATGCGAGGGTCGCAACATCTTTGAGCGCCCTTTCCGCCCAGCTATGACGGTTTTGGAGTTCAAGGAGTGGTTCGTGCAGAAGACGCAGGAGAAGCAGCATGGACAGATGAACAAGCTTGAGCTTGACACGGCGGACTTCAAGCTGATGTCCAACTACCAAGAGTTGCAGGATGACCAGACCTTGAAGAGCTATGCTCACTATGGCAGGTTGGAGGTGTTCATCCGCTTCAAGCTCAAGGGTGGCGGGCGCCCGGCTGTGAGGAAGCCATTCATGAAGAAGGCTGATGCAGTGGCGTCCCTTCTCAAGAAGGTGAAGGAGACTGTCCAGTTGGATGCTGACTTGGACATCCCGTCCGAGAAGTTGCCAGATAGTTTCAACAGGTTCATGTCAGAGATGGACAATGCCTTGAATGATTTCTTGATGATGAAAACACGGACAGGGGCATCATATCTGCCCTTGGCATTGCGTCATGTCCCATCTGAGGACTTGCTGGCACTGAAGAACATTTTGGCACCACCACCAACCGCGATCGGAGGGAAGAAGTACACCAATGAGGAGAAGCTTCACAAGAGCATCCACGCCTTGTTCCCGTCCATGGTTGTGATGAAGAATTGCACCTCCAAACTGGAGGTCAAACAGTGCAAGACTATGGAGACCTTGATGGCTTCCTTTGTCGAGTCCTACCATGATTACTCTGAGGGCACAGGCTTCATCAACATTGACATTCAGAAGATGGTATTGGCAGTTGAAACGGAAATTTCAAATAGGAACTTGTCCGCCCCCCGTTCCACTGATACCGAAGGCTCAGTGTGTGCAGCGCAGTGACACAGAAGACGCTGCAGTGCAGTGATGCAAAGCGCCTCCATTTGCGCAGTGTAGCCATACAGATTGCTTGACCTGTGTATTGTAGTGGTGCTGTCATGAGCCATCACTTGACAAACAAACCGATGTCTGTTGAAGCATGGAAAAAGAGCTTGTGCATTGTCAGTGAACGACTTGATTGAGAAACAGCGGTAGATGTCCTATGTTTATTATAGGAAAAGGGTAAAATTCCCCTTTCTTTGGGGAAAAGGGTAAAATTCCCCTTTCTTTGGGGAAAAGGGTAAAATTCCCCTTTCTTTGGGGAAAAGGGTAAAACCCCCTTTACATTTTGGGGCATCTGCGCCCGTGCAGGTATCTTCATCACCGCCTTTGACTTCCGGACCGTGCCCTACTAGGTAAGGACTTCGTTGGGAGTTTTTTTTCTGGGGCGGGGTATATATATATAATATAAGGGGAAACTCTCGCCAATTTTTCCCTGCCCTGTTTGGCAATTGGCGAGAGTTTCCTGATATATCTATATGAATATTGGTGTTGTCTAAATTTGATAAACTATGGATTATCCCCTTAAAAAATAATATTTTCAAATTTTAGAATTCCCATTTTTTACTGTATTGTCGTTGGATGAACCTAGAAATTTCAAGTTTCAAGCCCAACCCCAAACTCAAAATCCTTAATCCGTCAAACTCACTAAGATTTCACAAATTAATTCGCTAGGTATTTTATATAGGTCGTCCTGTTTATGTATTGTTGGATTGTCTCCCCATTTTTCCTTGGTGCCCGATGGTAGCCGTTGTGCGGTTTCAATATGTTTATTATTCCTGATGTTGCCACAATCCTTTTTACATAATTCTCTAGGTTTCCAAGTTGTAATGTTATTCCAGAGCCTAGTGCGTTTTCTGTAAGGCATTCCATACTTACAGTAATCTACATCTTTAAAATCAAACTCATCCATAAACTCCTGATGTTTTAATAATCCAGTTTGTGGATTTTCAATTACAAAATATTTAGGATTGAAATATTTGATAATCTCAATAGTTTTTAAGACAATACTATTTGCATATTCGATATTCCTAGTTCCCCTAGTTTTTGCTATGCTGTATTCAGTGCATGGGGGACTACTCCAAATAAAATCAAAATGGTTTCTGTCAAACTGTTTGTAATCCCACTCCAAAATATCAGTGTTGATATCAGCATTTTTCAAGTCTAATGATATCACATTAAATCCAAGCGACTTTGCTATGGTTCCAACGCTTTTTGTTCCACTAAATAATTCTAATAAATTCATATTATTAGAATTACTTAGATATTAATTATTCAAATAATACATATACTCCATCATCATGTTTTGTAATTTTATAAAACTCTAATGTTTGTTGCTTTGGTTGTTTGATTTTTCCTGTATTCAACATATCACAGTATTTCTTTTGCTTTGTAGGGTAGTCGCCCGATGGTCTTCCTATAGATTTTGCTTGAAATATCTTTTCGATTTTCTCCTTCTCTTCGTTGCTTTGTTGTTCGCGTTCAACTGGTTTCATTTTGTCATCAATGGATTTAATCATATCATTTAAGTTTTTGATATTTTTACCAATTAATGTTATCTTCTTCATTAAATCATTAATAGTATAATTTTCATTTTCAGACATTACTATATATTTATTTAGATATTTATTTATTTAATTATATATTTTCATCATTTGTTTAACAGTTTCCTGTGTTTCGTTTTCATTATTATCGGATGGTGTTGCTTGCCTACCAAATTTAAAAGTTATATTATGAACATCCGTTTCCAGATTTATACTGTCTTTAGTTTTATCAATATTCATTTTCTTATCATTTTTACTTATTTTGAAACTTGTTGGAATACATGAACATTTACAATTTTTATTATTTTTTATTTCTAACTCATTTTTAAGTTCTAACATCTTTTTGCACATAGGACAAGCAACCTCAATTACTGCTGTTTCTTTAACAATTTCTCCGCTATCTTCATCAGTTGAAGAAACACTTAAACCTGTCTTATTTTTGTTTTTCTTTTTCTTTTTCACCATTTATATTAATATTTACATTTTTATTTTTGATATACTGTATCACAAACTTAATTAATTCTAATGAATAATAACAGCATTTTTTAGTTTTATTATCAGTAATTATTACTTGTTCTATATTTTCTACTTCATCTATTATATTAATATAATTTGAATAACTCCTATTCATATAAATAATAAGATAAATTATTTACAATTAATCTTATTATTTCATGCATTTTAGAATATTAGGAGGGCACAGCACTTGGGGTTTTCTTTACAACGCATCAAACTAATTAGCTTCAATGC